GTACAGGGTGGGTTGCTAGTATTTTTAAATGCAAAAAGGAAAGCCATGTAGTTGACTCCGGACAACAACAGATTGAGTTATGTGGAAAGACTGGGGAAAGTAGAAATCTTTGGGCTTCCAAAAAAGCACATCATGTAACAAATAAAATAAGTTCAAGCAATGCTTCAAGGTAAGTTATGTTTTGACAGTAAAACAGCAAAGGCTAAAACCAGCAACAGTTAGTTTAGAAAAGAGGTTGGTAAAAATATCATCATGGACTTGGAATTGTATTCCATTTAAGATAGGGCAGATAAAAAGTCAAAACATTAAAATCAAATCCGAGTGAGATGATTGGTGGGGAAAATATAATGTACTTAATGATATAGCCTCAAAAAACCTGATCATATAAATACTGTGAGCTACAAATGTCAATGGATGAGAAATGTACACTATGAGATATTGTATTCTTCCAGTATAAGTTTTAGTAAGCCACCACAATAATTGCTTTTCTCCTTGGAAAAATGAAACTTCGACTGAGTACATTATCAAAACTAAATACTCATGCCAGTGAAAAATACACACAGAAAATAATAAATTGTTACTTCTTATTTTTGAATTAAAATAAAAATAGGTGGTGTAGTAGACAGTGAAGAAGATTATCTCAGAATACAGCAGAACCTTAATCAGATGGGTCAATTGGCCAAGGAGTGGCAGATGGAGTTTAATTTAGATAACCATGGTGTGTTGCATTTTGTCAAGGCAAATCAGGACAGGACTTACACACTTAATGGTAGGGCTATGGGGAATGTTGCCTAGGGGTGCAGGTGCATAGTTCCTTGATAGTGGAGTCACAGATAGACAGGGTGGTGAAGGCGGCATATGACATGTTTGCCTTCATTGGTCCAAACCATTGTTTGTAGTATAGGAGTTGGGAGGTCATGTTGTGGCTGTACAGGACATTGTTGAGGCCACTTAAGAATACTACATACAATTCTAGTGACCCTTCTATAGGAAGGATGTTGCTAAATTTGAAAGGGTGCAGAAAAGATTATAAGAATGTTGCTGGGTGTGGAAGGTTTGAACTATGGGGGGAGGCTGAATAGGCTGGGGCTATTTTCCCCTGGAGCATCAGAGGCTGAGGAGTGACCTTATAGGGGTATATAAAATCATGAGGGACATGAATAGGGTGAACAGCCAAGCTCTTTTTTCTAGGATAGGGGAGTCCAAAACAAGGGGGCAAATTTTTAAGGTGAGAGGGGAAAGATTTAGAAAGGACCCGAGTGGTAACTTTTTTTCACGCAGAGGGTTGTGCGTATATGAAATGAGCTGTTAGAGGTGGGGAAGAGGCAGGCACAATTACAACATTTAAAAGGCATGTTGATGGGTATAGGAATGGGAATGGTTTAGACGGATTATGGATCAAATGCTGGCAAATAGGACTAGGTCAGATTGGGATGCCTGGCTGGAATGGACAATTTGGGCAGAAGGGTCAGTTTCCATGCTATATGACTCAATTACTCTAAAATTTAGCATCATTTTCATCCAAAGCAGCAAAGTGGCCAGAGTCAAGTTCAACACTGGGAGTAATGCGTATGGTGAATCACAGCTGTTATTCCACCCCATCCAATTTTCAGTTCCAGTAAAGTCAACTTATTGGAAAATTATCAATACAGTGTGGAGCTGGAGGAACCAGCAGGTCAGGCAGCATCAGAGGAACAGGAAAGTCGATGTTTTGGGTTTCCACCCTTCATCAGGACTGTGGAGGGGAAAGGGAGCTCAGAAACAAATAGAGATGGTGGTGGGGTTGTGGAAGGTAGGTGGGATGGTGATAGGTAGATGCAGGTAGGAGATAGTGGAGATTGGTCAGTTGGAAGGGTGGGGTGGATGGGTGGGAAAGAAGATGGATAGGTAGTGTCAGGTCAAGGAGGCAGGTCAAGAAGGAGGGTTGGACATGGGATGAGGTCGGGGGTGGGGGAGTGGGGGAGAAACTGATGAATTCTATGTTGACGCCATCGGGCTGTGAGTTCCCAAGGTGGAATATGAGGTGTTGCTTCTCCAGTTTGCGTGGGTGTCATTGTGGCACTGGGGGAGGCCCAGGATGGACATGTCACCCAGGGAGGGGGAGTTAAAATGGTTGGCGACCGGCAGGTGTTGTCATTTGTCGTGTACAGAGCGCAGATGCTCTGCGAATCGGTCACCAAGTCTATGCTTGGTCTCACCGATGTAGAGGAGACCACATCAGGAGCAATGAATACAGTTATCCAGGTTGAAGGATGTCCAGGTGAATCCCTGTTGGATTTGGGAAGTTTGAGAGGGGAGATGTAGGGGCAGGTGTAGCACCTCCTGCAGTTGCAGGGAAAGGTGCCGGGAGTGGTCGGGCTCGTGGGGAGTGTGGAGTGGACGAAGGAGTCACGGAGAGTGTGGTCCCTATGAAAGGTTGATAGGGGTGGGGAGGGAAATATATCTTTGGTTGTGGGGTCGGATTGCAGGTGGCGGAAATGGCGGAGGATGATGCGCTGGAAGTGGAAGTTGGTGAGGTACTATGTGAGGACCAGGGGACGCTGTCCTTATTTTTGTTGGAGGGAGGGGATCCCTTACTCCCAATTCCTCCACCTCCGCTGCATCTGCTCCCACAGACATCCCAGGACATCCCAGATGTCCTCCTACTTCAAGGACTGCAACTGCACCCTTCAGTGATTCACAATGCCCTCAACCACATCTCTTGCATTTCCTGCACTTCTCCCACTTCCTACAAACTAAAGGAGTGACAATGGGCACCTGTAAGGGTTCAAGCTATGCCTGCCTCTTTGTAGGATATGTGGAACAGTCCCTCTTCTGCTGTTACACTTTCACCATTCCTCACCTCTTTCTCCGCTACATCGATGATGGTATCGGCGCTGCCTCGTGCTCCCATGAGGAGCTTGAACAGCTCATTGACTTTACTAACACCTTTCAACCCAAACTCAAATTCACCTGGGCCATCTCCAATAACTCCCTCCCCTTCCTGGACCTGTCTGTCTCCATCTCTGGTAAACATCTCAGCACTGGCATCTATTTCAAACTCACCGACTCCCATAGCTACCTGGATTACACATCCTCTCATTCACCCTCCTGCAAGAATGCAATCCTTTACTCCCAATTCCTCCACCTCCGCCATATCTGCTCCCAAGATAGAGCGGTCCACTCCCAGACATTCCAGATGTCTTTCTACTTCAAGGCCTACAACTTCCCTCCTCTATTGATTCATAATGCCCTCAACCGTATCTCTTGCGTTTCCTGCACTCCTGCCCTAAAATCCCTTCCCCCAACAAAAATAAGGACAGAGTCCCCCTGGTCCTCACATACCACCCCACCAACCTCTGCATCCAGCGCATCATTCTCCGTCACTTCCGCCATCTGCAATCTGACCCCACCACCAACGAGATATTTCCCTCCCCACCCCTATCTGCCTTTCATAGGGACTGTTGTTTCCACGACTCCCTTGTCTGCTCCACACTCCTCACTAACCCCACCACACCCGGCACCTTTCCCTGCAACTGCAGGAGGTGCTACACCTGGCCTTTCACCTCTCCCCCTACCTCCACCCAAGGCCCCAGACAATCTCTCCAAATCCGACAGGGATTCACCCGTATGTCCTCCAACCTGGTCTACTGTATCTGTTGCTCTCGATGTGGTCTCCTCTACATCGGTGAGACCAAGTGCAGACCTGGTGACCAATTCGGGAGCATCTGTGCTCTGTACGCTATAATCAACAATACCTTCCTGTTGCCTACCATTTTAACTCCCCCTCCTACTCCCACTCCCTTGGCGACATGTCCATCCTGGGCCTCGTCCAGTGTCACAATGACGCCATACACAAACTGGAGGATCAACACCTCATAATATTCCTCGGGAGCCTACAGCCCGATGGCCTGAAAATAGAATTCACCAGTTTCAAAATCTCCCCATCCCCGAACCTCATCCCATGTCAACCCTCCCTCTCATCCCCATCTCCTTGACCTGACACTACCCGTCCATCTTCTCTCCCACCTATCCACCCCACCTTCCCACTGACCAATCTCCACTACCCCCTACCTGCATCCACTAATCCCCATCCCACCTACCTTCCCCCAGCCCCACCCCTCCTCCATTAATTTCCCAGCTCCCTTCCCCCTTCCCAGTCCTGATGAAGGGTCCTGACCTGAAACGTCAACTTTCCTGCTCCTCTGATGCTGCCTGACCGGATGTGTTTCTCCAGCCCCACACTGTATTGACTCCAACTCCAGCATCTGCAGATCTTGCTGTCTCTGAGTGGTCTGAAAATAGGCTAGTGAGTAAAATGGACTGCCAACTCAGTATTGGTCATGTCAAATTTTACCCCTGCAAAACCTTGATACCTATTGCAACTATTGTGAAGGGTAGGATGAAAAGACTTGAACATTAAATATTCATAAGTAATTAACATTAGACCAACAGTGTATGATTATTTACTTATATTCATTTAATAACCAAAAGTAACACATCCTACTGCCATACCTGTGCTTAGCAGAGCAGATCTTTTCACAACATCTGCAAGTATTTTAAATCCATTGCAGGGAGACCTGAATAAAGAGCCTTGACATAAACCAAATCAGCAGGATGAATGAACATATTATGCTCACTTGAATTCAACATTTAATCTGTTATCTCATAAATGTAACAGATTCTGTCTTCTCACTTTCACACAAACAAGGGATGATTTACATTTTGCTGCACATTCTGTTTAACTATTAAAATTCACATCATGTAACACCTTCAGTTTTCTAACATTTATAAGGTAGCTCTAAACAAATACAATTCTGAAAGAACCTTGGTTCTGCTGGATGGTACGGTTTTAAATTATGCAAAACAAAGCATCATTCTTAATTATGTTCAGTATCATACACTGCAACATATCTAATGCATTTCCAAATTTCAATCAAAAAAACATGCGTGTTGCAATAAATGACTTCCTCAGTACCTCAAAGTAGTAAATAATTGAGGCATTAATTAAAAATACTTACAAGTAGCTGTGTGTTTCAAATCATGAGACTCAAACAGGTTTCTTTTAAATTCATTGTAGAGAAATCTTCTTTTCTGATCTTTCTTTCCCACTATAAAGGCACATTTCGCATTCTCAGCGATCCTTTGTGAGAATAGACTGTAGTTTAACCAAAGCAAGTATTCCTGTTGGCATCTTCATTATGAAGAATGTAGCATCAGCAATACAGCTCCCTATCAGGTCAAATTCAACACTGGTAAAGCCAACGTTTAGTTTATGACTCCAAAGCAGTTAATGATTCTGAAATTAGTGGAACCATCTAATTGATCCTGAATTCCACCTAAAAGATTAAAAATTAAAAAAAAAAATCAGTCAGAATTAACTGGATCAGAATGAAATCGGAAAGAAAACAAATATAATCAATTAGATCAATGTTGTCCACACTTTCTTTAAGACACTACACTAAATTCACACATTAGCAAAGTCACCCACTGAAACATAGCAGTAGGTTTTCACTTGAAGGGGGCTTCAAGTGGTGGCTGGTGGAACACACCAGCTGACTGCCTGATAGTGGCAGGAAGGCCCTTTCCATTTCAGGGAATCATCTGCTCATGCCATTGGGGTTGCAAACACAAAGTGAGCACCTCACAGAAGCTTTCTGGATATAGGCTGCTCAATATCAACTCGTTCACCTTGCCTCCAAGCTGTAAGAAGCACATTCATCCATGGAAGGTCTCTAATTTGGAGACGGATGAGCGGCAATGGTGTTTCTAAAGCACCCGTGATGGGAAGGACTCCTCTTCAGCACTGCTACCAGTCAACATTAGGCAGTACACGCACACCACCCAGCTCATTGCTAAGATCTATGCAAGGTCAGACAACATGCAACCAATCAACCAGGAGAAAAAGCAATCAACATCCAACAGCTGAAAACAAACAAGGCAATGGCAGAAATATAGGCAGTTTGAGACCTAAATATTCCCAACAGTTTCCATGGTGATGCTGCAGTACAGTGACTGTTATTTTGGTCCTCTCTGCAGTGGTAATGAGATTTCAGTGAAGTGGTGATTTAAAACCATCGTTCACTTCATCAACCGCTGTTCTTCGCTCATGCTGCAAAACCAGTTTTTTACCACTTCGCTTACATACAAGAGGGAAGTATATCACCCATACTCAGGTCACAAGACCCAGAAGTAGTCAATCATTTCTTCAATTTATAATTTTCAAATCATTAAGGATCAAATTAAATAGCATTTAACAAATACCACAATATATTTATCTTATTAATTAATTTATTAATAGGACATTGTAAAATATAAAAGACATATTGATCAACAACGTGATATTTCAAAAGTATTGCACTGCTACTGAATCGATGAATCAATACTACTCCCTCCTTTCTCTAAAAAGAAAAAAGCAAGCACATTCTCATCATGGTTTATTACCATTTGCTGCATGAGGATTTGTTTCAAAGCTAGTTCTCCCACATCAATCTGACATAATGGAAATAAATTCAAAATTTAGCAGAATCTTAAATGGATGGCAGCAGGTTAGCTATTGTCATATGACTTGTTTTGTTCTCTTTTTAAATGACATCCAATAAAACCTCAACATTTTAAAAACCATTTTAAAATTCATCACAAGATGGCTTAATTGAGGTGGTTTTGAGTGGTAAAATTTTTCATCAAACCCTTGTCTTAAGCACCCCTGTAACTTATAAAGTATGCTTCCTTTTCAATTTTTTCCCTCAATCTCTTGGAAGTAGTAATTTGTATTCATGAACAATTTTCTGGGTGTTGGCAGTCCTGTCATCCAATATAGCACACCTGTCCTCAGCCAACATCCAAACATCTTCACTTTCCAATTAATGGATTCACATTCAGGAACAATTCAAAGAGCTTTTTCAAAAGAATTTTATCATAAAGTTAAGAAATAAAAAATCAATGTAAGGAATGATTCGACTTTTTGCAACGCATGTCTGCATTCCCTCCAAACCCCCGCCCCCTACCTCCACCCTAACCTTGCCAGTCAGTTGCAGATACAGTGAGAGAAGCCTCTAAAGCCTCTAAAGGTCTTGACTTTGTATGATTCCATCCGCATTCTTGGGACATCCAACAGTGCTATGAAAGCATTCAAGTACTTCTGCACTGTAGGAAATGCAGTAGCCAACTTACACAACAAGGTCACTTGCACAGCAATATGATAATCACCAAATAATCAGTTTCAGTGCAATTGTTGAAGATGGTGCCTTTAACAATGCAGCATTCCTCCAGTATTGCATTGGAGTGTCATTCTAGATTGTGTGTTCAACATGTGCTCAATGTGGAAGAAAGTTGTTTTAAGTAAACCTTCTAATATATGGGCGACTACTAATACTAAACAGGACATAAAATAAAGGCTAACATGCACACAGAAAATCTAACTCTATTAACGTGTATTTTGGATTGATGCCTGCTCTGAACTGTTCTAAAATACAGACAAATATTGATGGATTTGATTCAGATTGAACCAGAATGAGAAAGGATGTTTTTTTTTAAATTATTGTAGCTAAAGGCTAGGTTGATTGGTGTGAAAGGAACATTACATAAATAACAGGTCTTTGCAATGAAAATTAGTAATGCCAGCCACACAACACTGCTGTTCCATCACAGCATTTGCAGTCTAATGAAAATACACTGGCAATTATATATTGCTCAAGGCCAGCAAATAGAGTTGGCTTAATGCCAATAATTCTAAGAACCACCTAAGAAACCAAGAATGGCATAAAGATACTGCTAGCATGACAGTTACTCATCAAAATTCATGTCATCAGATAGAAAATTCCATTGCTGTGAACAAAGAGCCTCTCTGCTTACAAGATTTGTCATCTTAATTACCTATACCCTGGAGAGTAAAAAGCATGCACTTTTTAAAGGACGAGGCACAAATATACACTAAAAAACAAGCTACCAAGTCCCTTCACGATACACAATAACAAATTTTGCTCCATATTAACAATAAAGAAATATACTTAAAATGGAAACCTACTACCCATTATATTACAATCTTCTCTTCTGCTCCATTCCTTGGTGAATGACCTGAACTGAAAAATTACGAGTACAAATCATTGAAAGTGGCAGGGCAGGTTAAGTAGGCGGTTAATAAAAATACAGGATCCAGATCTTTATAAGCAGAGGTTTAGAGATCAAAAGCAAGGAAGTTGTGGTGAACCTTCATAAAACATTTATTCAGTGTCAACTGGAGCAGCATGTCCCATTTTCGGCACTGAACTTAGGGAAGGGAGTGAGAAAATGGAAAACATATAGGGAGGCTTCATGAAAATGGCTCTAGGTGTAAGGAACTTCAGGTACAAGGATGGATTGGAGAAGCTTTACCTGCCGAGATCAAGAATAAAAGGACACCAATTTTATGCAATTGGCAGAAGAATCAATGGTGATGAGAACAAAACAAACCTTAGGGATTCTACAAATTCATTAAGGACAAAAGAGTAATTAGGGAGAGAACAGGACCCCTTAAAGATCAGCAAGACTGCCTTTGTGTGGAACTGCAGGAGATACTAAACGAGTGGCTTGCATCAATGTTTACTGTGGGGAAGGATATGGAAGCTAGAGAACTTGGGGAAATAAATAGCAACATCTTGAAAAACGTCCTTATTACAGAGTAGGTGGCACTAGACATTTGAAAATGCACAAAGATGGATAAATCTCTGGAACCTGATCAGGTGTACCCTAGAACTCTGTGGGAAGCTAGGGAAGTGATTGCTGGGCCCCTTGCTGAGATATTTGTATCATCGATAGCCACAGGTGAGGCGCCGGAGGACTGGAAGTTGGCTAACATGTGCCACTACTTAAGACAGGTGGTAAGGAAAAGCCAGGGAACTATAGACCGGTGAGCCTGACATCAGTGGTGGGCAAGTTGTTGGAGGGAACCCTGAGGGACTGGATTTACATGTATTTGGAAAGGCTAGGGCCGATTAGGGATAGTCAACATGGCTTTGTGCGTGAGAAATCGTGTCTCACTAACTTGATTGAGTTTTTTGAAGAAGTACCAAAGAAGATTGATGAAGGCAGAGCATTGGATGTGATCTATATGGACTTCAGTAAGGCGTTTGACAAGGTTCCACATGGTAGACTGGTTAACAAGGTTAGATCACATGGAATACAGGGAGAACTAGCCATTTGGATACAGAACTGGCTTGAAGGTAGAAGACAGAGGGTGGGGTGAAGGGTTGCTTTTCAGACTGGAGGCCTGTGACCAGTGGTGCGCCACAAGGATTGGTGCTGGGTCCACTGCTCTTTGTCATTTATATAAATGACTTGGATGTGAACATAGGAGGAATGGTTAGTACGTTTGCAGATGACACCAAAACAGGTAGTGTAGTGGACGGCAAAGAAGGTTACCTCAGAATACAACAGGACCTGGATCAGATGGGCTGGTGGGCTGAGGACTGGCAGATTGAACTTAATTTAGATAAATGTGAGGTGCTGCATTTTGGAAAGTTAAATCAGGGCAGGACTTATACACTTAATGGTAAGGTCCTGAGGAGTTTGCTGAACAAAGAGACGTTGAGTGCAGGTTCATAGTTCCTTGAAAGTAGAATCGCACGTAGACAGGAATTTGAAGAAGGCATTTGGTATGCTTGCCTTTATTGGTCAGTGCATTGAGTATAAGAATTGGGAGGTTATGTTGTGGCTGTACAGGACATTGGTTAGGCCACTATTGGAATACTGAGTGCAATTCTCGTCTCCCGCTATAGGAAGGATGCTGTGAAACTAGAAAGGGTTCAGAAAAGATTTACAACAATGTTGCCAGGGTTGCAGGTTTGAGCTACAGGGAGAGGTTAAATAGGCTGGTGGCTATTTTCCCTGGAGCTTCGGAGGCTGAGGGGTGATCTTATAGAAATTTATGAAATCATGAGGGGCATAGATAGGGTGAATAGACAAGGCCTTTTCCCCAGGGTATGGAGTCCAAAGCTAGAGGGCATAGGTTTCAGGCTAGAGGGGAAAGATTTAAAAGGGACCCAAGGGACAACTTTCTCATGCGGAGGGTGGTGCATATGTGGAATGAGCTGCAGAGAAAGTGGTGGAGGCTGTACAGTTACAACATTTAAATGACATTTGGATGGGTATATGAACAGGAAGGGTTTAGAGGGATATGGGCCAAATGCTGGCCAATGGGACTAGATTAATTTAGGTTATCTGATCGACATGGATGAGTTGGATCAAAGGGTCTGTTTCCATGCTGTACAGCTCTCTGACTCTATGATTCTTTATACCCTGAGTGCATGTAACATTGGAAATGCAGCAATCAATGGCTCTACAAACTATACATAGACTGGAC